TTTTTTACTTGACAAATCTCTCTTGCACTCAAATGAAATTGATAGAGCCACGGTTCCTTTATGCAATTTTATCAATGCCCAAGATCTTAAGACCAATGTCAATGTTGTCTCCACTTGTAAACCTGGTTCAAGGCACTCCTAGGCCATAACCCTCATTGTATCCCGCGCCTATTGGCTAAACGGACGGCTCCTTTTAAGTAGTCCATTGAATTTCCAACTTAACTGTCTCCATATGACTGAAAATTTTTCGTCATGCTTGTCAATGATAGATCAGTAACTGGGCCTATTTACAAGGTCCTCCCTTCTGTATATCTTTGATTGTATACAGATTCACTTTGTCAATCCCTTTTGTATGATTGTTTATATAAACATCATCAACAGCATAAATTTGATTTTCTTAATACAAGCACTGTTTATATTGAGTGCTAAACTTTTTTATGGGAACAAACTGTTTATTATTCAGTTATGTATTTTATTTGCTAGCATGCAACATTAAAGAGATCGTATTTGATCAAATTAAGAAAGATTCAATAAGAAATCATCGTGAGATATACCATCTTTATCCAAAGGCGAAACTGAACCAGATGATTGCTGAGCTTGGTCTACAACCTCTTCTTTTTTTGTTAAATGGGCAGATAAATCCTTATTCATACCAAAACTATTGACGCGGTCTTGTTCAAATATTTTTTTGAGTTTAGCATCGCATAAAATAAATCGTCTGTCTGCAGGATCTTGAAGATTGTTTTCTTTAATATACTTCCATAATTTTTGTACCAATTCAGGTCGTGAAAGCTATTAAGTTGAGTTTAACGGAATTAATGTAAGAGTAATGTTTACCTCTTTAGCTCCATCCATGAGTTCAGATAATACAGGGCTCAGAATAAGTGGTTTGTTCAATCCTGTCTTTCGTTTAGGCTTCGGTATTGCGTTCGGATCAACTATCTTGTTTTTCTTCTTTTTCGACTTTGGCTTTTTTTTATATTCAAGTTCATCTATCTTGCGCTTATGTTGTTCAGTCAGTTGATGGGCATTAGGAACAGTGTTGTATGTTGTATCTGTTGCATAAAAGCTATCATTGTATCTTTGAAGTAACATTTGACTTGATTGCTGATAGGCAGATAAATAGCTTTGTTGTTGCTGCTGCTGTTGTTGTTGTTGTTGCTGTTGCTGTTGTTGTTGAATTTGTTGAAATGAATGTTGATAGAATCCATTCATTGCAGCAGATGTCATTGATGTAGGATATATATGCTGATTGACGGGTGATTGATAAAAGGAATTAAAATTAAAAGTATCAAGCAACTGATTTGCTGTAGTTGGTGTCGATTGATTACTATCACTTATTGCACTTGTTGAGTACAGGTTTCTTTCATTCAAGTTATGCAAATCTATAAAGGTGATATTAGCATTTGTATCGTTCATGCATAATATTCTTCACTTCCTCATGCTTTGTACACCAAGCAAACATGTACAACAGTGAAGATGTGTCACTCTACATTGCTTTATATTTATACTTGCCTTGTAAGACAGGATTTCTATCCATTATATTTATGTTGAAAGAAAGAAAAAAGCAATTGTTGAAAAGGGGAGAAATCGAAAGAAGGAATATTAAAAAAAGAGGAATTAAAAAAAAGGGGAAGAAAGGGAGAAAGAGAGAGAAAGAAAGAAAGAAAGACTGAGGGTAAAAAAAGGAAAAAGATAAAGGGCAGCATATTGCGAAAAATGCAAGCTGTGACCGATTTTAATCAACCCACACGGAACCAAGAGCGACCCTTTTGCATTAAAAAGGTGACCACTCCCAGTAATTGGGATCAAATTTCTGCAGTTCGCTGTTTGCCCTCCCGTTCTATTTCTACATAGACTAGAATAAAAGCATTATAAAAGGGTAAAATGAGAAAGGAGCTGTTCCGATGACTTGATTCTTTGGTCTAAAGATCAATACTTGTTCAAGCATATGCCCCCCTCATTTATACAAGTCCTTGTGATGCATACAATGACATCAGCAGATATATAATTCAATCATATCTATAAATCTTGATATGAAAACAAAGACAGAGCAATAATACGGAACGTTTCAAATTTACAAACTTTTTGTTTTTCATATCATTACCCCCTTTTTGTAGATCCGAGGGAGAAAAAGCAAATAGTTGACAAGTCTGAACCATCAAGGTGCTTAACTGCATGTTTGTTGTTATTCAAGCCTGTGGTATGTCATCTTTATATTCACATAAGTCTCCTCTTTATAGCGGTGTACCTGAATTTATAAAATGGCTTTTATACTTTGTAGAAGCAGCCTATAAGACAACTAAAAAGGACTCCAAACACTACAGTGCGCGCGCTATAGTGTCTAGAGTAGCATTCATTCATGCATCCTTAAAATATAAACAAATATTATGCAAAATTCGCTCAAGTGTAGTCAGAAATAGTATAAACGCGACGATGGTTAATCTATGACATTAGAAACTAGTTGGTCATTAAAAGACATTATAAATAGGTTCCTTTTATCCGTAATGGTGAATAGTTCGTCTTGATTTGTTGCATTCCGTCACTTTTTACTTTTGCGTATTTGTTTAGGATGACCAAACTATTTACAGCAGCAACTCCAAAAATAGATAAATAATAAAGCTTTGTGCTTCTATAAGGTCAGATCACTGTTGCTCAAAAGGAAAAGTCAAGGACAATAGACTAATCAGCTCTTATTTGCCGTAAATTGGAGAAAGGGGCCGGGTATACACGAGTCTCATTTTCTCCTAATTCCAAGTAAAAGCTCTGCATAACCCAATAGTTGATATCAGAACTGTGTGTCCATGTAATATCTAAGCATAACTGCGAATACACCTTTACAACTTCTCTTGGCATTGTAAGTCTTGTCCTTGCTCTAATTAAACATACTAACTTGCGTGAGGATATATGTAGGACTGTTCATGAACTTAGGTTGCAAATACAAGCTGCATTGGTCATAAGAAAAAAAGGGGGAAATAGCGGGATATGAACAAGGGCATGTTTGTGTCGATCTCAAGTCGTCTTTTTGCAGTATAAAGACATAGGTTTAATAGTTCAATTAAAGAGGATAAACAACCAGTGATGCCATAGTTAAAATTAGAAAACATAAACTGTATGATTTTGGTATAAAAGGCTTTTTCCTTTGTTTTTAGTATCGAAATTGTATAATCAAGGTTGAAAAGTTTAGCAATGATTGTCATATTGTAATATCAAACCATTCATCTTTCTTTGCCAAATGGGTAAAGCGCTTAATGATACATCTCTCTCTCTCTGTGTGTGTGTGTCTGTCTTTTTTATGTCCCTATTTTAACTTTAGTATCTTTCCCCATGTCCCACAGAATAACCCCTCAGACATTCCACTGTCTGCCTTTCGTCCCCTTGCTTTGTATTAGGGGATACTTATTTCTTATTCTAGGTAGTCATTGCCACATATATACTTATACTGTATCCCTTGGGAATAGATGATACGAATTAACAGTCTAGTTTACTATTGGTATTGTCTGTTCATACAAAACAAGCAGCACTTTATCATTGCTGTCTAAAAAAACATGTTACACGTGACCTAATTTTATATCGTCAACCATAAAAATAAACATGTATTTACTTTTTACTGTCTTTACTAATTACATTATTTTGCATTTGAATATAAAATACAGAAATGGCACTTGTTGCTATGCTTAATTCCCAAGGAAATTTGAACAGAATATTCAATGACTTGAAATCAAAGTACAAAATATGAGACATATAGAATAAGCCATGTTAAGTCCTTTTTAAACTATAGAAACGAAGACAGAAGACTAAAGGCAGCCGAAGAATTACGTGAGACAGTAAACTATAGTCAACCTTCATGACAATTTAGACACCTCTAATACTCGTTCAATTCATAGGCTGAGATAGCAGCAAGGGAACTATCAGAAGAGAACTTTGTACGATTCACTAATGACATCAACAAACGCTTCTTTGACTGGACACATGGCAACGACAACAATGAAAAATTAGGCGCCATTGTAGCTATTGGTCAGTGTGCCCTCTTTTCTTTTTTCCAATAAAAGTACACTAACCTTCTGACACGTATATAGATCGCTTAATTGGTCTCGAACCTGAAAGTAATGCCAACCGTTTTCACAACTATTTACAGCATATGTTACCTCACCACGATCAACAAATCATGGTTCCGGCAGCTAAGGCGCTCGGTCGCTTAGCTGTGAGCTCATCGACTCTGACAGCTGATTTGGTGGATACACAAGTGGAACATGCTCTCGAGTGGCTACAGGCAGATCGGAGCCGATTAGCAGCCGTTTTGGTCTTGAGGGAACTTGCTGTCAATGTACCCACTTTAATTTATGCATATGTTCCTCGTATCCTTGATTTGATTTGGCTTGCTCTAAGAGACTCAAGAAATGTTATCCGTGATTATGCAGCAGATTGCTTATCTCAGTGTTTGGAAATAGTGCAGCAAAGAGAGACACCGATGCGAAAGACATGGTATTCGAGAATTTGGGAGGAAGTAAAGAGCGGGCTTCGCATGAATAGTGTTGAAGCAACCCATGGAAGTTTACTGGCTATGAGAGAATTACTTTTACATTCGGGAATGGTAAGAGAAAAGAAGAGAATGAGGGTGATGCTTATGTGTTTTCAATAGTTTATGACAGAGATGTATAAGGAAGTATGTGATATTACACTCCGATTAAAAGATTCTCGAGACGCTTTGATCAGAAAGACAGTTGTTTCCATCATACCAACCCTTGCATCATATGATCCAGCTACATTCTCTGAACTTTATTTACATAAATCAATGAGTCATCTACTAAGCTTACTTCGAAAAAACAGCGAGAAAAAAGATGGTAAAAGCTTGGAAAAGATGTCAAAAAAGTATCTAACATTAGCCTTTCGATAGCCTTTCTTGCTATTGGACAAGTTGCAATTCAGATGAAGAGCAATATGTGTCCTTATTTAGACGCTACTTTGATCTGTATAAAGGAAGCTTTATCTGTGAAAGGGCAAGTAGCCAAGCGAAATCTATCTTGTCAAAGCTAACGTCAACGTTTACACAGTCGTCAGCGAAAAGAAGTTGAAATGGCTACATTCATCTGTATCAGTATGCTTGCTACAGCAGTTGGACAACAACTGACAAAGCATTTGCACGATCTATTGGACTTGATGTTCAACTGCGGTTTATCGGAATCATTAGTGTCTGCCTTGAGTAATATTGCAGAACGAATAAAGCCACTGTCGCCAGTTATACAAGGTAAACCTATCTGCTTAGTCCTTGGTGCTCTAACCCAAATTTCATAGAACGCCTGCTCAATGTTATATCGATCACACTAAGTGGACAACCCTATAAGCAACCTGGAGCACCAACAAATCGAAATATAATACAAACAGTCGATAGACCACTACGGGAAGGAGGAGTTGGAGACGGAAAGGATAATGAAACTATTGTTCTTGCTTTAACAACGCTAGGTTCCTTTGACTTCTCCAATCATGTGCTTAATGAATTTGTTCGAGATTGTATAGTAAATTACCTTGACGACGATGTTCCTGAAATCAGAAAAGCAGCTGCTGTCACCTGCTGCCAGTTATTCGTACGAGATCCGATATGCAACCAAACAAGCGTACATGCTATCAAAGTGGTAGGAGAGGTTCTAGAGAAGTTATTGACAGTGGGCATTGCAGATCCTGAGCCTGATATCAGAGAAACAGTTCTTTCATCATTAGATGTACGCTTTGATCGACATCTTGCACAAGCTGATAATGTACGATCATTATTTATTGCTCTGAATGATGAAGTATTCGCTATTCGTGAAATCGCCATTACCATTATTGGAAGGCTTACTACATATAATCCAGCCTATGTCATGCCATCACTTCGAAAAACACTCATCCAGTTATTAATGGAACTTGAATACTCGGTTGTAAGCAAACAAAAGGAAGAGTCGGCCAGGCTTATTTCACTGTTGGTGCGAGCTGCTCAAAGATTAACCAAGCCTTATATTGAGTCTATTCTCAAGGTGCTACTACCAAAGGCCAGAGATACCTCAACAGGTGTAGTTTCTGCCGTTTTGGGCGCGCTTGGTGAACTAGCTGCTGTTAGTGGTGAAGACATGGCTCCACATCTAGATGAACTTATGGTCTTGATCATGGAGACATTACAAGATCAAAGCTCTAGTGCCAAACGTGATGCTGCTTTAAAAACACTTGGTCAGCTTGCAAGTAACACCGGTTTTGTGATTGAGCCTTACATTAAATATCCTGCCCTTCTTAATATCCTCATCAACATTTTAAAGACTGAACAAAGCCCGGTTATTAGACGTGAAACCGTTAAACTAATGGGTATACTCGGTGCTTTGGACCCTTATAGGCACAAGGTATGGGACTATCACGCAATAGACATAATCGCATACTAAACCTTTTTTTCGTATAGATGAATGCGATTGGAAATTCTAGTGAAGAGTTAGCGGATCCAAAGCTCTCAAGCAACGACGTTACCTTGCTCATGATGGGCATCGGACCTTCTTCTGAAGATTATTACCCTCAAGTCGTAATGCATTCACTCATGAAGATTTTAAGAGATCCATCGCTAAGCCAGCACCATTATTCAGTCATTGATGCCATCATGTTTATATTCAAAACACTTGGCCTAAAGGTTGTACAATTCTTGCCAGTTGTCATTCCAGGATTTCTTTCCTTGATGCGCTCCTCAACATCTGGTATGTTGGAACACTATTTCCATAAACTTGGAGATTTGGTATCCATCGTAAAGCAGCATATCCGCAATTATCTCAAGGATATCTTTGAGCTTATCGATGACTACTGGACATCTGTATCATCTATTCAAATAACCATCATCTCTTTGATCGAAGCTATTGCCAAAGCGTTGGATGGTGAACTCAAAGTGTACTTACCCCGTCTATTACCTCATATGCTTCAGATCTTTGATACTGATATATCCGAAAGAAGGCAACCCACCCTTCGAGTACTGCATGCATTTGTTGTCTTTGGTGCTAATATCGAAGAATACATGCATCTGGTGATACCTGCTGTTATCCGATTCTTTGAAAAACCTGGTGCTCCTACTGCTGTGCGTCGACAGGCCATTACTACAATTACTGCTCTTTGTAAAAAAGTCAATATGTTTGACTACGCTTCCCGTATTATTCATCCATTAGCCCGTGTCTTACCTGTACTTCCACCTGAAGAAAGAAATGCACCCATGGATTTATTATGTGCACTCATATTCCAGTTGGGTGCAGACTATACCAAGTTTATTCCCGTCATCAATAAGGTCCTTGCTAGACACCGCATTACACATGCAAATTATGATCTGCTGGTTGGAAAGCTTTTGAAAGGTGAAAACCTTCCACAAGAATTAGGAAAAACGTTTGATGATAGAGATATCAAGGGTGACGAACCACCATCGGCTGAACTTACTGTTGCCAAAAAGCAGCCAGTGAATCAGCAGCACTTGAAAAAGGCATGGGAAGCATCTCAACGATCAACAAAAGAAGACTGGATGGAATGGATCCGAAGATTCAGTGTTGAGTTATTGAAACAGTCTCCTTCGCACGCTCTCCGTGCCTGTGCCTTTTTAGCATCAGTCTATACACCACTTGCACGAGAATTGTTTAATGCAGCGTTTGTATCCTGCTGGAACGAACTGTATGACCAATACGTGGATGAACTTGTCCGATCCTTAGAAGTAGCATTAAAGGCACCCAACATTCCACCTGAAATTATCCAAATCCTCTTACACCTCGCTGAATTCATGGAACACGACAACAAGATGCTGCCTATAGACATCCGTACACTAGCTGTCTATGCTCAGAAATGCCATGCGTATGCAAAAGCACTTCATTACAAGGAAACCGAATTCCATATTGAGCAGTCCTTTGAAGCAGTCGAAATGCTCATGTCGATTAATAACTTGTTGCAGCAGCCTGATGCTGCTATGGGCATCTTGACATTTGCTCAAGACTCACTAGGTCTAGAAAATAGAATTTCTTGGTTTGAAAAACTGCATAGATACCAAGACGCATTAGAGGCATATGAAAGGCAACAACAGGAAAATCCCAACTCTATGGAGATTACCTTGGGCCGTATGAGATGTTTACATGCACTTGGCGAATGGGATCAACTAGCTATTTTGGCACAAGAAAAATGGATTCATGCACCTATTGAAAACCGCAAGAGTATGGCACCCTTTGCTGCTGCTGCTGCCTGGGGCTTAGGTCAGTGGGAACAGATGGAGGAGTACATTGCGTTATTGAAGACCGAAAGCCCTGACCGCACCTTCTTCCGTGCCCTACTTGCTATGCACCGTAATAGATACGCGGAAGCAGAGACGTTCATCAACAAGACTCGCGATCTTTTAGATACAGAATTGACTGCACTGTTGGGAGAAAGCTATAACCGTGCCTATGCAACTGTTGTACGTGTCCAAATGTTGGCAGAGCTGGAAGAGATGATCATCTACAAGCAATCAGCAAATGATGTTGAAAAGCAGAATGCTATCCGCCGTACATGGATGAAACGTTTAGAGGGCTGTGAACGAAACGTTGAGGTGTGGCAACGCATCTTACGTGTGAGAACAATGGTCATTTCACCTCAAGAAGACATTGAAATGTGGATCAAGTTTGCCAATCTTTGTCGCAAGAGCGGCCGTTTCTCTTTGTCTGAAAAGACTCTAAAGAGCCTAATGGAGACGGACAGTGATGGTACTGGCGCACCTCATCCCAAGATTATATATGCGCAACTGAAACACATGTGGGACTCTGCATCCATTGCACCACCTGATAGAGCGTCTGGTATTCGTGCTCGAGCACTTAATGTCTTAAGAGACTTTACGGCACAAAAGACGCAAGATTTAGGCTTGAATCCAGATGAAATGGCTGTCAGCATGCCTATTGATCCTACTCGTATTACTGAAGATGTTGCGGAGTATACTCGATTGTTAAGTCGATGCTACTTACGTCAAGGTGAATGGCAGAGAGCGTTGTCTGATGAATTAAGTGAAGAGACAATTACTGAAATCCTTTCTTCTTTCTTGCTTGCTACTCGATTCGATCAAAACTGGTACAAGGCATGGCATTCGTGGGCTTTGGCTAACTTTGATATCATTGATTATCATGAGAGACTACATCCTGATCAGCTGCCTCCACAAATCTTCAATCATCATGTTGTGCCTGCCGTTCAAGGCTTCTTTAGGTCCATTGCTCTGTCCAAAGAGAATTCACTACAGGATACTTTACGTTTGCTCACACTATGGTTCAAGTATGGTTATCAAGCTGATGTTAGTGCTGCTATCAGTGAAGGATTCAATACGATAAGCATTGATGTCTGGTTGCAAGTCATACCTCAGTTGATTGCCCGTATTCATGCGCCAAACGCTACTGTTCGTCTGCTCATCCATCAATTACTTACAGATATCGGCCGTGAGCACCCTCAAGCTCTTGTTTATTCACTTACTGTCGCTTCCAAATCTCAAAGTGTTCCTCGTCGCAGAGCTACCTTTGTCATCATGGACCGCATGAGAATCCACAGCCCTGTATTGGTAGAACAGGCTCTCATGGTCAGTCAAGAACTTATTCGTGTTGCTATTCTCTGGCATGAAATGTGGCACGAGGGTCTTGAAGAGGCGTCTCGTCTCTACTTTGGTGATCGTAATGTAGAGGCTATGTTTGCCACATTGGAGCCATTACATCAAATGCTAGATCGTGGACCTGAGACTCTACGTGAAGAATCCTTCGTACAAGCGTTCGGAAGAGATCTTCAAGAGGCACAAGAATGGTGTCACCGATACAAGGAAACACGTGACCTGAATAATTTGAACCAAGCTTGGGAACTCTATTATCAAGTCTTTAGGCGTATTGTCCGCCAATTGCCCCAACTGACTAGCCTGGAGCTACAGTACATTTCGCCCCAATTGCTTGAAGCTCGTGATCTTGAACTTTGTGTGCCAGGATATTATCGCAGTGGTGAACCTATTGTGCGCATTGCCCGTTTTAACCCAAGCCTCTCGGTTATTGCTTCCAAGCAGCGGCCCAGACAATTAACAATCATTGGCAGTGATGGTAAGGATTATATGTTCTTACTAAAGGGTCATGAAGATCTTCGTCAAGACGAACGTGTAATGCAACTATTCGGACTTGTAAACACGCTACTCACTAATGATGCTGAAACGTTCAAGCGTCATCTAAACATTCAACGTTACCCAGTTGTACCGCTTTCTCCAAACTCTGGCCTTATCGGTTGGGTTAACGAGACTGATACTTTGCATACACTCATCCGTGACTACAGAGAGAGTAGAAAGATTTTATTAAATCTTGAGCATCGTCTCATGCTTCAGGTAAGAATTATTCAAAAGGAGCATATAGATTGTTTATAACATTTTCTTAAGATGGCTCCTGGCTATGACAATTTGACGGTTATACAAAAAGTAGAAGTCTTGCAATATGCATTCGAAAAAACGAGTGGACAAGATCTATACAATGTCTTATGGCTCAAGAGTCGTAACTCAGAAGCTTGGTTGGACAGACGTACTAACTATACAAGATCTCTGGCAGTAATGTCTATGGTTGGTTATATCCTTGGTTTAGGTGATCGTCATCCATCCAATCTGATGCTCCATCGAATCACTGGTAAGGTGGTACACATTGATTTTGGCGATTGTTTCGAAGTAGCCATGCATCGTGAGAGATTCCCCGAAAGGATTCCCTTCCGTTTGACACGCATGCTGGTAAAGGCAATGGAAGTTAGTGGTATCGAGGGCAACTTTAGAACAACTTGTGAGCATGTCATGCGCGTATTACGTGCTAACAAGGAAAGTTTAATGGCCGTATTGGAAGCCTTTGTGTATGACCCCTTGATTAACTGGAGATTGCTAAACACTCAACCACAAAGTCCTAACCAAAGTAAGAAGCAATATAAATGATAACATATAAAGAAATAACAAATATAATTCTTTTTAGTTGACCGTATGAGAGGAATTGAAAATATAGCTCATGAGGAAGGACCAGAAGATGGCCATAGAAACTTCTCGGTGAGTCGAAGGTTGAACCGTATTGAAGTTGAAGCAGTAGCAAATGGTAAGACAAACACCATTGATTTTATAAGACTTACGAATTATGTTACATATAGAAAACGCACAAGGACCTGAATTACTGAATTCTCGTGCTGTGGCAGTCGTGAACCGTGTCTCAAACAAATTGACGGGTCGTGACTTTAATCCTCGAGTTACTTTGGATGTACCTACACAAGTAGATCGCTTAATATTACAAGCCACGTCTTTAGAAAATCTTTGTCAATGTTATGTTGGATGGTACGTTTATAAGACGATATCGTAGTATTGAACCATGATTAACTCTTTTTTTCTAGGTGTGCTTTCTGGTAATTCATTTCACGCATACAAGTGTAATCATGTTTCATTTTTTTTTTATTTATAATAAACATTTCCTTTTTCCAATTATTTAACAAGTACTATTGAATAGAAGGAAAGGGGACGCATTGAGTATTAAATAAATTGCTGTGAAAGTTGAGGGCTGTAGAACTTATGCGAAGCTGGCCGTTGTATATGCTGATGTCGTTGATGTTGCTGATATGATGTTTCAAAAGGAATGTGATAGTCAAAGTAATCGTTACCCAAGAGGTGTTGTTCACTCGATCCATCATCAATATAGGCTTTTTCAGATATGGCAGGTGATCTGGTAGAATAATGAAACGGAAAAGAGCCAAGATGACTTTCATCACTACGAGGTTCCTGTCTTTTACGATATGATGCTTTTGTCTGTTGTTTGCGCAGTATGGAATCTATACGCTTGTCAATCTTGTAGCAGACATATTCCTTTAGATTTCCGCGAATATGGCACATTAGAGGAATATAAAGTACAGCCGCGAGACAAACGAGAGCAAATGACATGGTGAAGATGATTACTGAAAATGCCATGGTTCCCGTCAGTACTTGCTGCAGCCAAGTCTCGCCTAAGGCATAATTATCAATGGTCACTCCGCCATTATGAATTTTAAACCATTCTGGTAAAAGAGCTTCTAGAGTCACAATGTTGATAACTTGGCGAGGTGCTTCTGCTAATAACAGACGTTTCCATCCTTTCAGTTTAGAATATACAAAGAAGGCATATGAATCTATTCCTTTTTGAATTGATTGAAAGAGGCAAAAGCAGCGGTAATCCTTCATAGATAAGTATGTATTGGTAATATCGCAAGTAAAGTTGTATGAAATGTCTTCCATGATCAGGATACGACGTGCTTTGATAAGATCCCAAAGCAACAAGAGAAATGAGATCATAATACAGGCAAAGAAGATCCACTTTGAAACATCTGTTGGAATGGCTGGTGCTACTGTTGTCTGCCCAATGATCAAGAGAGACACTATGAGAGAGAGAAATCAGCTTTGTTTGTTTGTCATTATACAAAAAAAAAATACCTGCGGTCCAGACATCAGCAATATAAATAGCAAATGACTTAATTACCCCAAAAAAGACTAAAAAATGCTTGAAGCGAGTTAAACAAGAGGAGTCATGGAAATCTTGAAGATCGATGTGCTCAAACTTATGATCAGAAACAATCTCTCGTTTCCAATTTGGCTTGTCTCTTCCCCCGCAAAATCCCTAATAGATAATAAGTATGATTGTTAGTGCGACAATATCTAGTTCTGTACCATGGCAACAAGGTATGACAGTTAATGTGTGCTGGCTTGTCAAAATAATTTAAGGTATTGATCAATAATGAATGTAATGTACACACAGGATAAACTCTACAAGTTTCTGATGGCTCTACTTTATTAAGGTTCAAGATTAG